CGGGCGGCGGCGGCCCCGGGGAGCGGCCGTCCTGGAAGCAACCGTGCGCCCGCTTGAGCTGGCGCGCGGTCTCGATCACGAACTCGATGCGATCCGCGCCCTCGTAGTTGACGCAGCCGCGACAGACAGGCTCCGAGAAGTCCCAGATCATGGCCCAAGGCATGCGGGGTAGGTCGCACAGGTAACAAGACTGTCTTCGGGACGAGGACACCTGTGCCCCCGACATGATGCCGACCCTGGGGAAGGCAGGCCGCTCTCTGGGCTGTCTCCGCGCCGCCTTCTCCTCCGGAAGCGCTGGTCTGCTGGGGAGCGAGTCCGGCTGCGAGGGAGGGAAGAGGAGGGCGAAAGTTCTGCCCTCGGGGCTGGAGGGCGCGGGAGTCTTCGCCGCCGGCGCAGCGCCTCTCCGCAGGGGCTCAGCCGCCGGGGCGGCGGACCGCTCCTTGCCCCCACCCTCCTACTGCGGCTGTCTAGCTCGGGAGGGGAGCTCCGGCGCCTTTTTCCTGGTGCCCGGGACCGGGGCTGGAAGCTCCGGCTGGGGGCCGGGGTGGTGGTGGAGGGGGGAGGGTGCCTGGCCGCCGTTGCCTCGCGGGCCCCCTCCCTGAAGTGGCTGACGCGTGGAAGCTCGAATGGAGCTTTTTCTCGCCCTGGGGGGGACCCCCTATGAGCGGCGTCCTCTCCCCGCCAGGCTCCCTGGGACGAGGGCTAGCGGGCTCAGTGCCACCCGGTGCCTGTGTCCGATCTTGCTGAAGCCGCTGCTTTCTCCGAGGACCGAGGGAGGGGGTGGCGGCAGCCAAAAGGAGCTGGTCCCCTCCGCAGCGTCGGCCGGTCCACTGGCGGCGGCTGGGCTTGCAGGGCCCCTGCTTCCAGGACGCCGGAGAGGAGAGGAGTGCACGCACGCAGGCTCCCGCCGCCCCGGGCCTGGCCGGCGCCCGGGCCGCGCGTCCGGCGGCGCTCACATTGACTGCAGGGCGCTCGCGCGGCGCCTCGGCCTGGGTCGCATCCCTTCCCGCTCGTGCTCGCGCGGAATGTGGGGTTGTGATTGTTACTCTACGTTCCGGAGGCGCGTCTCGGCGCTCCCGCTCGGGCTGCGGCTCGCGCTGTCCCCGGCTTGGCCGCGCGGGATGCCGCCCGGGCGGAGCGCTGACGTCACCACCATGCTCTGCACC